CTATATTTTCAGGTCCAGGTCCAGGTCCGGTCGGGTCCCATATCCCTACCTGACCCATTGCCACCTCTATTCATCAACTAGGATTTCTAATTTATTTTTACTGATAGTTTAAAAACTCGCAAGTCAACTCAGAATTGCCCAAGTAGGCTCGGGCCTGGTAGATAATTGGCTTACTTACCTTATGAAATCGACTCAGTTGTTTTTTAGCCTTTCTTTTTCGTTTAGAAATGACTTGTTTTAGCCCTTCCTAATTTGGCCTTTATTTTATTCAATCTGAGTGTGACATGGATAAAATGTTAAATAGTTGATCTCTTATGTGTATTCAAGACACGGGAAATGTTTTTTAGTTGTATTTTTATTTTTATTTTGAATACTTAGCTGTTAACTAATTTTTATGTGTTTTCATAATTTTTCAAATTTTTTTTTCCGGTATCGGTCCAGCTGAGCGGCTCTCTGAGTCACCTCAGCCGACTCAGACCTAGCAAGCACCCTGGTTCCCAATGGGGTTTTTAAACACCGATTTTTACAATATATCAAAAAGAGCTTTTCTCATGATATGGAGCCCTAGCTAACTCACTCTCCATTTAGGACTAATCCTTGATTCATGTGCTACAAGATCCATCAAGATAACAAAGTAGGATTCAAAAACAATATACACAGAGATAGATAACAAAATGTATGGATATAAAAATCAGAGGGGCAGCACATTAGCAGCCCCACATGACGATATTCTCTAGGATCACATAAAAAGACAATGTAGATTTGTTATTGTTCATTTTATTATTGACTCTAATGCTATTCGAACGTTTTAATTAAAAGCTTTGGAATCATTCCTGAAAAATATTACTGACATTACCTGTAATACACACAAGTAATTGTTGTCCCCACAAATAGTGAAAGGCTTCTATACTTCTCCTACAGCATAGAAGATTTATGCTTTCCCTACCATCCAACCGTCTAATTTTGATCGAGAGAGCCACTCACTGTTTGATCTTAGATCAGACGTTTCAAAGTATTTTATTTTTGGTTTTTTTTTATGCAAGTTGTATGAATATGAAATTTGGTACGCGCCATCGTCTCATTGGGGCGCACCGATAAAAAATATCAAAAATAATTTTTCAATAAAATATAATGACCAAAATACCCTTTGAAATTTTTAAGGGTATTTTGGTCATTTTATTTTATTGAAAATATTTTTTTTATTCTTTTTGTTAGTGCGAGTTAAATAGAAGATTGGACGTACAAAATTTGGTGTCAAAATAGTTTATAGAAAAAACATTAAAACTAAAATAGTATAGAGACGTGACATTATGATTGGGGCAATCTTAGCCCTCCATTCAGAATTGACGGTTGGGTAAAGATAAGTATATAAGTTTTATGCTATAGGAAAAAAATAGAAAGCTTTCCCTAAAACATATTACTTTTGCATTCTATCTCTATATACTCTAGCCTGAACAGTTTTTATGACGGGAATCCATGTCTTGTGTTTTAAATTTCCAATCATATACGCCTAGGGTTAAGAATTTACCAGTTTGAATCTTAAACTCGAATTTCGGATTCTATTCAGATCTGGGCATGGATCCAAAATTTAGATATGATGGGTGAAATCCGGATCTAAATTTTGCATCCGAATAATACTTTGGATCGGATCTAGAACAGGCAGATCAGATTTGGATCCGACCCAATTATTAAAATCTTATATAATATTTTATGGGAGAAGTTTATATAGAGCCGAGGCTCTAAACAATCAAATTAGAGCCTACGTCAAAAATTACACAAGAAGAGATTATTTTGATGCGCAAATATCCTCAAATTGACCATCTGGACATCAAGATGAACAGACATGAGAAAAAATAGATTTCAAGTTTTGGAAATAGTGTATTTTATAAAGCATTTTTGGACCATCAATTTTCAAGATTTTCATAGATCTATCGATCTACACTATTTTTTAAGCTTTAAACTTTATCAATAAGGCTATCGCAAAGATTTCCAATGTTGAAACCATATTTCTCGACACTAGTTAAAGGTAGGCTCTAATTTGATTGTTTAGAGCCTAGGCTGTATAAAATCTGCACCTTAATTTTATATATACATATATGCTATATAATATTTTTAGCTATATATTATTTTATAGATTTAAAATTATATAAAATAATTTTTTGGATGCATTAGGTCTAGATTTGGATGTGGATCTCATATATACTTTTCATATCCAAATTTGAATCTGAATGCCTTCTACTTTTTGGATCCGAACCCGATCCAACCCATTCTTAACCCCACATACGCCTCTCATTGTTGGCCCCCTCCGGCCTAAAAGGTAAAGATAAGACTAGTATGCCTCCCTTCGGCCCAAAACAGAAAAGTAATATATAAAACCATACGCCTCTCATTGTTGGCCCCCTCCGGCCTAAAAGGGAAAATATAAAACCAGTATGCCTGCCTTCGGCCCAAAACAGAAAAGTCATATATAAAACAAGTATTTGTGTCGAGTGCATGGAAAGGAACGCCACAATTACGAGGGG